GTCACCCTTGAAAAAATATCTCATGACATGACACTGGTTCAGTCCAAGAAAAATGAAGATGTGGATGAAAGGGCACGTGTCTGGGTCAGAGGAAGGTTTAACAACAAGTTCTGTTATCCACACACGCCAAGGCTCCCAAGCTCATGTGGGAGTCAAATGTATCTGGCCCGTGTTTCCTGCCTGCCTACTCCGCCCTCCTGCATTGAGATGCTCCCCTTGCCTCTACTGCTGGCTGCGGCAGTGGTGGGCAGCAGGCCGAGTCCTCTTCTCCTTTGGAGCGACTGACTGAGCGCATCCTGCTCTGCCTCTGCTCCTCCCAGTCCCTGGCACTCCTCCACACGAGGCCTGGCTGCAAGGCAGGCTGAAGCCGGAGGAGCACTGCTCCATCACGGGGTGGGAGAGGAGTATCATCTGGCCCCCTAGAGCCACAGGGGGAAGGCAATCCGGTCCTCCAGGGGAAACAAAAATAACAGCAATAGGAATTTGAGTGGAAGGAGAGAGAAAAGGAAACCTTTGAAGGGAAGAGATGGTGGAAGTGCCACAAAAACAGTGGAGAGGAGAGTAGGCTTGCTGTCCACTCACATGAGATTGGAGGTGAGTGAAAACCCAATGCTCGCCCCTCCCCCCAAGGTAAAAAGTGTGGGGGAAGCCAAACTCCGCTGGAATAGTTCCAGGCATTATGGGGAAAGAAGAGGAATGGCCATCCAGCTTGACTGAGGGATGGAGCTTCAAATATAGTTCAGATAAGTATTTAAACCCTGGGTGTTTATCTGAATTGATCCCAAAATCTGCACCTTGCAAGGTTCCCCTCCCCCTCCACTGGCCTTTCTGTGCATTTTGCTATCCTACCGCTGCTTGAGCGTTTGGCTGGGTTTTGCACAATGCAGCATTGAGATGCATTCCCTTGTACTTACCCAATGTCACATTGCTCTCATCTCCAGTCATGAACCATTTCCCACAAATAAAATGGGTGGTGTCCAGAAAAAGAGGACGGAGATCTCCCTCCAGCCTCTAACTGGGAGGCCAATTCACGGCTAGTTATGGCAGCAGGAAGCTGGTCTGGTTGCCCATCGCACCTTTGCAAGTTTAGAATCACCAGTAAATGAGCCGCGTATCATTTTGTGCTCCCCATTGAACTCCCCTGTTTTCCATCTCTCACTTATTTACTCTTCCCAGTATTATTTCTTTAGTTCACCTCTCAGATTTCACGAGGATCTATGGGATGTTTTACTGAATGTGTTTTTTCATCTTCACCCCAGAGTTTTGAATACGCTGGGAAGACACATCAATGACATTTAGAAGACATGGTACAATTATGCATCCCAAGGAAGGGTTGCTCACAAAAGCATGGTGGTACCACTGCGGATGGGACACCTTAAAGCCAGCAGACACTTAATGCCGTCTCTGCCTTTCTGTGCTCTGGATCAGACAACTGCACGCGTCTCCCCAACAAGTAAAGGCGAAGCACTCCCTGCTTAGCTGTTCACTGCCCTAGGAAAAGCAGGTTGTTGGTTAATAAGTTTCACCTGGATAGCTATTTCTGCTGGCCTCACAAAGTAGTTTCTTTGTTAACAGAAGGTAAACAGCTCCCTGCTGCCAGGTGGGGCAGCACAGAATAGGACAGCGTAAGTGGTCTCCATTTTGAGTTACAGAGTTCTCTATTCACACTACCCCAACCTGCATGTTAACCCCCTTCCATGCCCTATGTGGAAGGCATTTACCAAAAACGTCCCAGGTTTTACAAAGGCTATCATTCAGTTTTTACTGATTTTCACTGGAATTTTGAACCACTTAAATACAAAACAAAGTGCCTGAACTCCCCAAATCCAGCTCCCCACTTTGGAAGGAGACAGTAGCTCACTAATCTAGGCCCCCAAGGTCGGGTAGCACACCACGTCACATGCCATGATGAGCCCCAGTAGAAGACTGCTACAGCATCCAGGCCCAGACGAGGCAGACCGAAGATCAGAATTAGTCAAATTATACAGATACCATGGGACATGGAAACGATGGTGTGCGGGACAATTTGAGATTCCAGCAGCTCATTCCCATAGACCAGCCGTAGGCCTGTTTACAGAAGGTCAGACTAGATGACTAGAATGATTCCTTCTGGCCTTGGAATCTCTGAATAGTGCCGAACTGAGTAACTGCACACTAAGAGCACAAAGCCTTCTGCCATGTTCAGGGCCCTGCTCCCACTGAAGTAGAGAACATTCCAAGCGCCTGTCCGCTTCCTCCCAGATAACCCACTTAAGAGTGCCGGGAAGGAAACCAGACAATTTCCAGTTAATTTTAGCCTGCGTTGCAGAAGGGCCCAGATAATCATTCCAGAAACCTCTGAAGCCTCAATGTGCACACATATGCCAGTCACTGTTAGCTTGCAGATCTGCTTATCCCCAACTCCACCTCTGACAACACGCGCAACCAGACCGTCAGCACCTCTTGCCTTATCTACTTACTGCCACTCCCCCACATAGCATTCCAGCTCTCCAGAATGCTGCTGCCATTTCCTCATACATTCAAAGCATGACCACATCAACCCCATCCTCAGACACTTCTGCTGGTTCCCATTCCTTACAGGACCAATCCAAGTCAAAGTTTGCCTTGATTTACAAACCCTCCATAGAAGACTTCATAAACCTCCTCTCTTCTCTCCACCCAGATCCTTCCCCTTTGCACCAGCCTGCTCTGTGACCACACACAACCTTGTCAACGCTGGTCCAAGAGCCTCCTCCTTCGCAGCTCCTGTCTGCTCTGACTGTATCCCTCTGCCATTTTTGAAGCTGTGACTCTACTTTTTGCCTATCCTCATAATTTCTTGTCTCATCTAGCTCTGGATCATTTTGGGATGCACTTTGTAGGAAACATACCATAGAATACATAGGTTCTCCAAAGAAAAATGCAATCCTTTGTCGAGCTATCTACGTGTGGAGAGTTAACACTCATGCCCCATTAGCCAGTAGTTCAGGGGTTTTGTCACCCCATCAACAGGATAGAAACTCCAGATGAGGCAGCTAACGCACCAAGTGTCCAAGGTTGCATATGGGAAAAAAAAAAGAGGAGCTGATGCTCATCCTCACAGCTGACACTGAAGAACAGTCAAAGGGTGCTGCACTGTGAGAAGTAGGATCATTCCGAGGAGTTTCCTCCCACTTGTGCCCAGGGGGAAAGCTAAAAATTGCAGGCCACTATTCAAGAGTGTGAAGACAGCCCAGAAGTCCTGCTCGACCTCACTCTTCATTAAACCAGTTCTGATTTTTCAGACTGGGTAAGAGCTATTGTGGCACCCTGAATGGCTGACACTTTTGCCTGTTCGGTCACAGTTAACAGAATCCTCAGTGTACAAGAAACATTATATAAACTCCAGATGGTGCAGGAAGCGGTGCTGGTGACTCAGAAGACATCACTGTTTCCTTCAAGTCAGTTCTTAGTCAATGCATCAGTTTGGTGTTGGGGCCCTGTGCTACTGGAGATGACATTTCAGAATACAGCTAAAACTGTGGTTGTTAAACCAGGAATACGCTGCTAGAGGAATGTTTATGCTACACAGGAATAGCAGACACAGGCCCTAACCAGCAAGCTATAGGCTATGTTTAAATACAAGACTTTATGCTGACCGTTTCCATTCTTTGTGTGCATGGGGTGGTTTATCGAATGGATTTGAGCGTGGATGCTGAGGAGCGATGTCTCCCAGTACAGTTGCCCGATGCTGCCAGGTCTCCATGGGAAATGAGAAATCCAGTCTGAATTGATTTCACCTGACTAAAGGTTTCGAACCAACCAAAGGACAAGCCAACCAACTCCTCCATGAATTATGAAACAGCTACTAGAGGTCAGGGCACAAATCCCTCCACCCCATCCTCACTGGCCCAGCCCCTGGTCCCTCCTCGGTACTGCCCAAACAATTCGCTGTAATGGCTCAGCTCCAAGGCCTGCTCCTACCAAAAGCCTATGCCCAAGGCACAAACCTGCACCCGCCTAGTGAAGCAGGGATGGGGAAAATGGGGAAGTTCTACACACTCTGTAAAGTATCAGGGGGTAGCCGTGTTAGTCTGTATCCACAAACACAACGAGGAATCTGGTGGCACCTTAAAGATTAACAGATTTATTTGGGCATAAACTTTCGTGGGTAAAAAACCCACTTCTTCAGGTGCCGAGACAGTTAGGGGGCTGCACAAGATCGGGATGTCCACACCCAACAAGCCCAGCCCATACATAGGCCCTGCCCTAACCCCACTTCCTTCCCCCCCCCCCCACCGAACCCCCCCCACCACGCAGGGCCTGCCACCACCCCGCTTCCTCCAGCTCAGCACCCCCTCGACCCATTGCAGGCCCCCCACACCATCTCACTTCCTCCTGCCCAGCCCTCCTCACCGAGCCCACACCCCTGCCACCACCCCGCTTCCTCCAGCCCAGCCCCCCAACCTCATGTGGGCCCCATCCCCCCAGCCTGTGCTCTGTGCAGGCGCCACCCCCAGTGCAAGCCCCACACCCCCCAGCCCAGCCCCCCGCGACCCATTGCAGGCCCCCTCACTACCCCACTTCCTCCAGCCCCGCTCCTCCTCTGTGCAGGCCCCACCCCCAGTGCAAGCCCCCCAGCCCAGCACCCCGCGACTCCCCTCACCACCCCACTTCCTCCTGCCCAGCCCTCCTCACTGAGCCCACATCCCTGCCACCACCCCACTCCCTCCAGCCCAGCCCCCCAACCTCATGCGGGCCCCACGCCCCCCAGCCCAGCCCCCCGCGACCCATTGCAGGCCCCCTCACCACCCCACTCCCTCCAGCCCCGCTCCTCCTCTGTGCAGGCCCCACCCCTAGTGCAAGCCCCCCAGCCCAGCCCCCCGCGACTCCCCTCACTACCCCACTTCCTCCAGCCCCGCCCCTCCTCTGTGCAGGCCCCACCCCCAACACAGCTTCCACCAGCCCCGCCCCCCACCGCCGCCTGGGCCCCACCCAGCGCTCGCCCCGCCCCAGGACAGTGGCCCGCGGGCGCCGCTCACCGGCAGGGGCGCGCCCAGCAGGCGGTGCAGGGCGGGCAGCTGCGCGCCCAGCGGCAGCGCCTCCGGCAGCGGGTGGACGGGCGCGCGGCGCGGCTCCGGGAAGCTGGCGCACGAGAAGGGGTCGCTGTCGTCCAGGTACTGCAGGCGGCAGAGCGCGGCGCCGGGCCCGGCCGCCATGGGCGCAGCGCTGCGCTGCTCCCCGCGCGCCCACCCGGCGCAACTGCCCGCGCGCCGCCTGCCTCAGCGCAAGGCCGAGCCCGCGCCCCGCCCCGCCCCGCTGTCCGGCCTGGGGCGGGGCGGGGCGGGGCTACGGCCCCCCAGCCAATCGCTCGCCGGTAACCGGGACAACCGGCCACTACAGAGCAGCCGATTGGCCAGCGCTGCCGGGCAGGCGGGGTCTGGCTGCGGCTAACGGGCCCCGCGGCGAGGAGCAGCCGCCCCGGGGCGGGGCCCAGCGGCTTCAGCCCCCTCCCGCAGGGTCAGGCGCAGCAGCGCCGGCCGGAGCCCGCCCGGGGGCCCAGCGCTCCCCAGCGGCCGGAGCAGGCTGTCCCCGCCGCGGGCCGGGCGAGCTCCGGGCGGCTGCTGGGGGTAGGGGACCAGCTGCACCAAGTGCCTGGGGCGCGCGGCAGGGGGGCAGTGGGAGGAGGGCGCAGGGGGGAGAGGAGAAGGGGCGCAGGGGAGGGGGCACAGTGTTGGGGAGAAGGGGCGCAGGAGGGGGGGAGGGGGCGCAGGGGGAGGGGGGAGAAGGAGGTTTGAGGGGTGCATGGGGAAGGGGAGGAGAAGGGGCACAGGAGGGTGGCACAGGTATTAGGGGAGAAGGGGCACAGGGAGAAGGGGAGGAGGGGGTGCAGGGAGAAGGGGGCATGGGGAGGAAGGGGTGCAGGGGTAAGGGGAGGAGGAGGTTTGAGGGGGTGTATGGGAAAGGGGAGGAGGGGGTGCAGGGGGCATGGGGGGGAAGGGGGGCAGGGGGGTGCAGGGGGAAGGGGAGGAGAAGGGGCACAGGAGGGTGGCACAGGTGTTAGGGGAGAAGGGGCACGGGGAGGAGGGGGTTCAGAGGGTGCAGGGGGAAGGGGAGGAGGGGGTGCAGGGAGAAAGGGGCATGGGGAGGAAGGGGTGCAGGGGTAAGGGGAGGAGGTGGTTTGAGGGGGTGCAGGGGGAAGGGGAGGAGAAGGGGCGCAGGAGGGAGGCACAGGTGTTAGCAGAGAAGGGGATACGTGAGCATCCCCATAGGCACTAGGCGGGTAAGGGGTGCACAAGTGGGGTCATGTGTTGGAGCATACATGAAACGTGCTAGCTGGGCTGCTGTACGGGACTGTGTGGGCGGCTAGCTCAGGATGGAGCTGTTGCCTTCCCCAGACCCCTTGTCTGGCCATGCACCACTGGCTCTGCTCAGGTTCCCTCACCTGTGTGCAGGGCTGAGCCCTGGCAGAACCGTGTTGCCAGCCTGGGGCCTGGCCCTTCCCAGCGCTAGGAGAGAAAGGACACCTGGGGCTAAGGCTCTCATTAAAGTTGCTAATCACCAGATGTGCCCACTAGAGGGTGTTTGGAATTTAAACAGACTCATCCCTGGCCCGCGGTTCTCTGTTGACAAGCCAGCGTGCTAGCTGCACAGCTGTGGCTCTTGCGAGGCCTGGCTGAACATGGCACTGACACACCCATAGGGCACTGCTCAGGCCGCTCACATGGTCGGTGCTGTCCTGGGGCCTTTGGCGCACACAGGGCTGATTTCTGCCCCTTGGCTGTTGACAGCCTTTGACCCTGACACAACTGCACGGCGGTGGCAAGGAGGAAAGGCCTCCTAGAGCCCCACATGGCAGCAAGCGCACCCCCCGGCACTCACATGTGCTCAGCTCCATGGACCTGGGGAGTCCCAGGCTGGAATTCCAGCGGAGGGGTCTGGCCCCTGTCACTCACACATGCAAATTATAGTGGCCAACTTTTATTTGACCCTGTTCTATTCTGTAACAACCTTTTCTCTGCATTGAACAGATCACTGGGATGGCGAAGGAGTAACTCGGGGAGGTACAGCTCTCTTGTGCCAGTTCCACAGCCAGTTGGAACTGCCATGTGCCTCTGTGTTGCACACGACCGACTTGGAGAGCTTCACAGCTGTGGCTGGGGCAGAATCCCCATCACCTGCACCAAAGCACAGGGCCCCGATGCCTGAGCTAATGGAGAATCTCTGCTCTCTGTTAGCAGTGCAGGGCCCATGACAGCCAGGGGAACTATGAGAGGTACATGCATACACACACCAGCCTGTTCATTACACACTTGCCTATATAGACAAAGCTTGCCTCAGAACCAGCTGTTCAGATCTTCCTTCTGACATCAACATAAGAAATCTCTGTGCCCCAAGGGCTTCCATCCCATAACCTCCAGGCTTTGCGCGGGCTTGTCTGAGATGGTTGTGACATTGTATAAAAAGAAAGACGACCATGTTTACACTAAGGTATCACCATTGGTGCACAATTGTGATAAATCTCATACAAGTATGTCTTGTAAGGTATCCATGAAAATGTTATGAGCTGCTAAGTATTATTTTCCTATTTAAATCCATATATCATCATTGTATCTGAAGTTACAAAGTTTTGCTGTGTGTTTGTATCTCAAATGTGTTGTGTTCCTGGATATCACCCACAAGACAGATTTGCATCAAGGCTAGTCAGCCATGTGTTTATGGCCCATAAAGAGAATCAACTCTTCAGTGAGCCATCCTGAGTAGGTACTCTGAGAAGGCATGCTGACACTGGGTGACCCATGACTCAGCAATGGCATGTAAGGACAGATGATCCAAGATTTCATGTTTGTGCCAGTAACTTTCCATGCACGTAGGTTGAGGATATAAAAGTGGAGACTGTGACGTCACTTCTTAGCCTCTTTCCTGCTCCACATCTCTGGATTATGATTTCTAACAAAGAAGAGTTTAGAACAATGGACTGAGGACCCCAATATTTGGGATGAACCAGAGCCAGTTATTACAAACTGGCAGATTTAACATCACTGCTATTAACCTGATCTACAACCTCTGAAACCACCTGTAATGTATATGATTCATTTTAACCTCTAATAACTCTCTTCCTTTTTTGTATATTAATAAACTTTTAGGTTTTAGTTACTAAAGGATTGGCTACCAGCATGGGTTTGGGTGAAATCTAAATGACCTGGAGTGTGTGTCTGGTTCTTTGGAACTGGAAGAACCTAATGTCAAAAACAACAAGGAGTCTGGTGGCACCTCAAAGACTAACAGATTTATTTGGGCATAAGCTTTCATAGGTAAAAACCTCACTTCTTGTGTTGACACTGGTTCTCCACTTGCGAAGTAACTCCCTGCTCTCCATGTGTCAGTATATAATGCCTGCATCTGTAACTTTCACTCTGTGCATCTGAAGAAGTGAGGTTTTTACCCACGAAAGCTTATGCCCAAATAAATCTGTTAGTCTTTAAGGTGCCACCAGACTCCTTGTTGTTTTTGTAGATACAGACTAACACGGCTACCCCCTGATACTTGAAACCTAATGTCTGTGATTCTTGGTTTAATAATCATTTATCACAGAAGTCTGGATGGTGCATGAGGGCCTGAAGGAGATTCTATGGCTTCCTGCGATCATTAGTAGTTCTGCCATCTTACTTTGGAAAATTTCAGGTGCACTGGTAATCCTCAAAAGTAAAATCTCCCCAAGGGTGTGATAAATTGAGTTAGTTTAGCACTTTCTGTGGTTTAAAGGAATTTGCCAGAATCCCTTTGAGGCATCCAGCTTGGAGAATACTGTATCTCTTTTCACTTTGGGGAGCAAGTCAGCCAGTGTTAGGAGCATTTTCCCCCCCACAACTACTTCATTGTCTTTTTAAGATCCACACAGATTCATATTTTTCCATTTTTCGTTATAATTGGTACCACTGGGACACATCATGCTTTTGGCTCAGCAGCCAATCATTCTATTCTCTTTAACGCAGTTTCCACTTTATGAAGTAGTGGGATAGGAATCGTGTGAGGTGTACATACACTATATGGTGCAGCATTTTCTCAAGGTTATTTGTACTGGATCTCCTGTCAAAAGTCCAATATCACCAAATATTCCATCGAGTTCTTCCATCTTTCTCACTAGGCCCATCATAGGGTGTTGGTCTATGGTCCTTTGATCACATACAATCTGAATGCAAAGCTTTTGTCTTTGTAAGCCAATGCATGCAGAGGTCTTATAAAACATTCAACATTTCCTCCCGGTTCTTGAATTCTTTGGCGAAAACATGCTCTTTCATTAAACCACATTTCTCTGAGGTATAAAGTATGCATCAAACATAGCCAGAGCCCTTTCAGAGTTGTCTTTTTGGCTGTCTTCAGTAAAGTCAAAGGATTTAAAGATATTCTCTGCCTTGCTTCCCCATAGCATACATTAGATACCTGTATATCAAGGGTGGTTTTTTTGTGTGTGTGTGTGTGGAATTTGATTGCAATTCAAAAACTTGCAAAATACTGCTTCCAGCCTGTCTGTTGTGAAGGTTTGTCAAAGCTGACATTCTCTGGGGCATTGAAGAGTGGCATGTTGATGAGATCCTGCATCCTGTTCCTTCTGTCTGTAATCTTTGCTGTTTTCCATCTGTTTCTGTTCTTAGTTCACTTCTGACACCTGTCATGCTCCTCTACCGGCTGTGGACTGGCTACGGAGCTTGCTTATACACTCCACCTGTGTTCATACATTCCTTTAATGTTCTGCCCGGTTGGGTGAGGTTTGTTTAAATCAGATATTGTGCACGAAGTGCTACCTAGTGGCTGAATAGTGTAATACAGATTGGCTTAGCCGCTGTAATGGAAAGCTAGAGTCTGCTTGGACAGCTCAAAGTGGAACAGAAGTAGCAAGCAGCCCTCAAAAGCAGAGTGATCAATAGGGTGACTAGACAGCAAATGTGAAAAATTGGGATGGGGTGGGGGGTAATAGGAGCCTATATAAGAAAAAGACCCAAAAATCAGGACTCTCCCTATAATATCGGGACATCTGGTCACCCTACATGTAGGTTTCTAAGCCCCTTTCCGTACCCCCACCATCAGGGATCTGGGGGCCTTGCCATTCTCATGGTCCGTTCCCCTCTCCCTTTCCCCCCCTCATATGAGAGGGTATCAGTGGGTCCCTGTCATTCTGCGATTGTCTGAGCCCTCTCCCTTCCCCCTGGATGTGCGCCTGAGCCTGGGGACTCCTGTCCCTCTAGGAGTG